TTAGTGACAGCATAAACTGTTTAGCTTTAAGGCAGCATTTGAAATGAACTCTGAGCATACAGAGTGGTAGCGAAAAAGCTGCTGCAGGCTAACATTAGCCAGATACCTAGCTTAGTTAGCGAAAAGGCTGTAGCAGAGTCAGCTGCATTATTTTTCTCTTTTCAACTACGTTCTTAACAACAAGTCTTTGGTAACACGCTCATGTACAAGCACTCATATTTCATAGTAGCATTATACTCACTCGCAAAAATGTAACATTTTACAGTCATGCTAAAGCATAAAATTAGCATTTTTTTTATTGTTAGCCTCTTTATTTTCTCTGTTGTGCCATGATGAAACATAACAAATACTCAGACAGTGATTGTAACATGTGAATTCTCTTGCTTTATGTACCCGGGCACATCCATAATACATTATAACAAATTTCTTGAGGTAAAAAAACATGTATGATAGCCATTTTCCCCCTAGCAGTACCACAGGTGGAGTGTGATATGGCACCCAATAAACAGACTATGACGTTCTGTCAAACTTTCCTGTGCTGGAGCTGCATTAATCCCTGCTTAGGCTAACAATGTCCAGCTACGTTTTCCGATAAGCGCTACACAAAAGCACATTCGTATATGCCGACACACATACACTCGCGCCTCCACTGTTGGGATGGCTGCCTGTCGCGCACTGCATTTAGACCACAATCCGAAAATGCCTTAAGGACATCTAATCCACGCTCTCTCGTCTTTAACTGGGTCAGAGCTCACAATAGCTGCATCTTCATTTCTGCCTCGCCTCAGCTTTCGGGCTCGTCTAGCGCTAGGCTTTTTTCATTCACTGCTAAATTGTTTACTTATGGTCTTTGGCTACATACACAGACCCTGCCGATTCAACCGTCTTGGTAAACAGCTCGTCCTGAATGAATGCGATGTGCTGCAACTTCATTTGCAATGAACTCCCAAATTTTACGCTGTAAAAACTGGAACTGGTTGTTACTTCAGGGTTTCTTTGGGATCTTTCTGTTTTATATTAGCAAGAAAATGAGAAGAATTAAGGAATTGAGTCTGATCTGAAGAATATTTTAAATGTTACCTTGTTGTGCAAAAGTCAGAGACCACCCTGCCGCTGATCTGATTTCTAGTCAAATCAGCCATTAAGTATGTTATTCATTTTTCAGTGTCAGAAAAAAAAGAAACAGACAGGAGACTCAGCAACTAAATATAACAGTATTTAATTTGTCTTCAGAATCAGAATCAAGCTTTTTTGGCCAGGTATGCCTACGCATACAAGGAATTTGGTTTTGGTTACAGGAGCTCACAGTGCACAGTACCAGACAGACATTTACATGTAGTGAATAAAATAAAATAAATATAAAATATAATAAAATAAAATAAAATAAAATAAAACATGCATTCCTACCATCACTCACTCAACACACACACAGTCATACTGTCTTTAAACAGTACTTAAAGCTTTCATCTTAAAGATATATTTCTGAAATGACCTCAGGAATATTGGAAATCTCCTCCTTCTGAGGATTTGTATTTCAAGAGTTTCCAAAATTGGAGCTCAAAAATGATCAAAAGCTCTAGAGACAAATGGGACTCCTAACAACCACCTGAAACACCTGGTGGACCACCAAAACTGTCCCCATCAGATAAACAGCACTTAAACCTTTCATCTTTGAGGGAGAGGAAAAAATCAAGCTCCACTCTTGATTCAGACCTGAAAAAAATCCACATCCATCCTTCCACTGTGAGAAGACGACTCAGCGCTATGGGTCTGAAAGGATGTGTAGCTGTCAAGAAGCCTCACTGACAAAAGGAAATAGACAAAAAAGAAGAATACTTGCTGTAGAACACTGAGACTGGACACCTGAGATGTGGAGGATGATTATATGGACTCGTGAGTTTAAATTTGTAAGAGCAGAAAATGCAACCAACTTCTATGACTGAACTTTGGAGGTACGGAATAATAACCCTGCTGAACGGAGGCTCAAGACAAACGGTGGACACACTAAATACTGCAAATAATATAGACTTATGTGTAATATTTTGTTAAATATATGGTTTCTGCTTTTTTCCTATATCTTGTGCTTAGTCGCTGTTTTGACCTGAAATGACATAAATCGCCCCTCACTTTTGCAAAGTATTGTATGTGCTTTAACCCTTTCAGTCCTACATTGGGCCTTTTTGCATTATGCTTTTGCATAACTTTGTGTGCTTTCATGATCATGTTGTCATTTTTGTATTAAGTATTATAATCTTGTTGCCAGATTCAGGACAACTAATGAGATACAGCACTCGTTAACACTCCTGTATAGTAGATTAAGAGATATTAGTAAAAAACAACACAAAAACAGAACAAACAAAGATGATAGCCTATAAAAGGCTTAGAGCAAGCAGCCCACCAGTTTTAGACCAGTTTTAGACGTTTTTGGCAGTTTGATGAAGGAAGGAAACTGTCCACATTGACAAACTGGTGCTTCCTAGTTACAGCTGCACTATATGGTTTGTTAATCATTATTGTAACAGCAGCATTTGCAATACTGAAATTGCAGAAGGCTGCAATTTGCAGACAAGCCCACATTTTTGGTCAGCATGTTCACGACAAGCTCATACATTCCAGATGCCTTTTTCTCTTAGTGTTAATCATGATCGTGATAATGATTATGATTATGATAACTGATAATGAATCATTCAGAAACTACAGAAAACCAGATTTTTGGAAAAAAAATATTTTGTACATTTTTGTTTTCTTTTCTAGAAAACAAGAGTCAGTGACACAGCAGAAGGCCTATTGCAATTGCATTGTGGAATAATATAATCAGAAAGTGGTGATTTGTCCATATTGCACAGGTGTAATAAATATATAAATATAAACTTTTTGCATCTTTATGAGATTTCAGTTACAGCAGCAGCAAATCACAGCAAATCAAATCTACTTTCAGTACAGAGTTTTTGTAATTTCATGTTCCATAACAACTAATAATAGCATTTTAGATGTTTTGTTCAATATTTCAAGAATTCTGTGAATGAGAAGTTATTAAATCACAGATAATATAGTGTACTGTACTACATTCATTTTTAGTTATCTGTTGAGATTTTCACTTTTGAAATTTGTTGAAACTTATAGATTTTAATTTTATTGTAACTTAATTGTGGTGTTATTTAGCATTCTCAGGTACTTTAAAATCAGCTCTGTTCATTCCTATCACCACATCCAAAAATCCTAAATTCTTTTATTTTATGTAGTGCCCTACTAATTATTTGAAACCTATGAAGTTGCACAAATTGAGCATATTAGAATCATTTTATACTTTCATCTGCAACCAAACTGGTTTTATATTATTGAACAAAATGATTCCGAACCTTTGGACAGTAGTGTATATGAATCGCTCTTCTAAATTGGTTCCAAAAGTTGAAAATGGATTTAGGACTTTTCACTGACTTGGACTTCAGACTAAAACCCTTTTGTTTTGCGTGACTTTATATCTTAATTACGTTTATTCTATTATCGTTACATTTTGTCACTATTAAACATTCATAATACTGCTGAAAGTTTCCCAGATGTTTCAGTAGTGACTGTTTCGGTAGTGGCAATTTTAGCTAATTTTGAGGAGAACTCAAAAACGCAGCCAATGCATGACCAGCAAACACAGCTCTAAACAGCTGAACACACATAAAATCATAATGCTTTTCATCAAAACACAAAAAGTTTACTTAATTGCAGAAAAATGTGTTTTGGTGGTGACAATTCTAAATGTTCCACACTGATTTTCAGATTTTGGGACACACTTAATTCAAAACAATATGGTCTAACGGCCCCAGGGATGCAGTCTCACTTCCTGCTCTAAAATGCAGGGGCGCGGCTGAAATAAGGCTCCGCCTTCAGACTAAAACTCTTTGTGTTTCGGTAGTGAATGAAAATGAGGGAGAGCATTTTTTTTTAATTTAAAAATGAAACTCGATAAATCTAAATCTTTCAACCTCAAAAAATAAAACTTTTTGCAATTTCAAAAAATAACATCTAAAAATATAAATAAATAAATTTGGGCTTTAGGGTTTGGGACAGATGCCTCCGAATAGAAAGTAACCTATAAATTATGATTTTGTATATATTTAGCTTATTGCTATGTCAATTAATGCCTTGGAATTAAATACAACATAACATTATAAGGTCTAAAGTGTTTTTTTTTCACATAGCTCTATATTAAAGCTATAAAATGTATTATTTACAAGACACAACATTATGAGTTTACAAATGCATGAATTAATAGCAGTAAATATTTATGAAAAATGCATAGAAGTGTGTTCAAGGGTGTAGAGGACGTGTTCATTTATTTTCACATAGAAAATATGTAATTTGGCCAGGTGTGTCCAAACCTTTATATACGACAGTAAGTTGAGATAATGAGATACACATTTATGTATTGTTTCATATGAGATAATGGGCAGTGTTTAAAGAGGAGGAATAGTAATACTGACCTTTGTGCTAGACTGTGATAGCCCTTATTGCAGGCAGGCCTCAACACAGCCCTGCAGAATTAACCACAGTGTATCAGAGACGATCTCATCCAAATTGCATATTCAATCATTCCTGACACGGACGTACCCTCCGGAGGCCAGGCGAAGTGTGCGACCGCTGTAGGTCACATTATTCTTCATAAACGCTGACGACCTTACCGTTCTGGGTTATCCCAGGAATTAGCATGATATTACCACATACAGTGTGAGCCATGGGCCATATCAAAGCTGCGTATGATCACTGCGTCTCCGCTCCGTCAGAGTGGGTCCCTGGAGAGGCCAAAGAGAAAATGAGCTTCTGTTAACTAGGGCTATAATCTTCCAGACACACAGGCCCGTCAGATTTATTTAGAGGGAGACAGTGGTGAAATTAAATCCAGAGTAGCTTGCGCTCATTGACTTGCAGCCTGAGGAGTCGCGCGCAGTACCGCAGTAGATTCGTTAAGCAGCTCCTTTCATGTTCCTCCATGTTGTTCTGTCTTTCAGGACCTCGATTTCTCATAACGTCCACGGGAGCCTTGTATATCCTGGACGTGCAGAAGGAGGACGAGCTGTTCAACTACCGCTGCATGACGAGGCATCGCTACACCTCCGAAACGAGGCAAAGCAACAGCGCCCGTCTCTTCGTACCAGGTGAGGACTTGGGGTGCTAGTTTATTGACAGTTTTCTCCCGTTCCACAAATGTCATAAATCCGTCAAGACATTTCTGGCGGTTTCAGGATGTATCATGTTACGTACACTGATCGGGCATAACATCATGACCGCCTCCTTGTTTCTACGCTCATTGTCCATTTTATCAGCTCCACTTACTATATAGAAGCACTTTGTAGTTCTACAGTTACAGACTGTAGTCCATCTGTTTCTCTGCATACTTTGTACCACCTTGTAGATGTAAAGTCAGAGACGATAGCTCATCTGCTGCTGCACAGTTTGTGTTGGTCATCCTCTAGTCCTTCATCAGTGGTCACAGAAGCTTGGTCAAAAAGTACCAACAAAATTCAGCCTTTAAGGCTATGATAGATTTAGCTACATTATTTTGTCCATGATTTTGGCATGTAGTTAGCATGATATTCAATACACAGACAGAAAATAACAGCTGGAAAATGATCATGTGAAAAAGAACTATGGCTGGTTTTGGTACATAAAACCATGCGAACATTAAGAGTGGACATTAGGGAAAGAAATACAATATATACAGTAGAACACTCTTTTTTAGGGTGCACTGTTTCTGGGTCAGCTGAGTTACTGGCTGCCTCATTTTACGTAAATGACTTTATCCCTTTGTCTTTACTTGTAAGACCCCACAAACTCAGCACCTGCGATCCTCGATGGCTTTGAGAAGCGGGAGGTCATGGCCTCGCACAGGGTCGAGCTGCCGTGCAAAGCTTCAGGGCACCCGGCGCCAAAGTACCGCTGGCTGAAGGACAACAGGCCGCTGGAGCCGGACACCCGCTTCCGGCAGAGCGTGACCGGTCTGCTGATCGAAAGAGCGCAGCCCAGCGATTCCGGCAACTATGTGTGTGAGGTGTGGAACAGCTACGGGAACGCGGAGGTCATCGGCCGCCTTCTGGTCAAGGGTATGTTTGCTTCTTTGCTTTCGCATGCAGTGCAAGTGATTCATATAAGCGCCATTGAAAACTGTTAAAAGTTTTTATATTATTAAGCTGAAATGATTATATACATGGGTCAAGTACAGAGTGTTCTAATTAGGGACACCAAAATGTTTTGGTAAAAAGTGGCCAGAAATGGTGGGTTTTTTGGCCAAAAGACTAAAAATGTCAGTTTTTACAAACAGTTTTGGCTGAAATTGTCAAACTGTTTTCACTTCTTTAAGATTAAATGGCCTATGGCTGTGTTCAAAACTAAACTATTACATACATATTAATTTTTACATTTTATTACAAAGTCTGGCGCCACAGCATCTTGTCATTTGTGTCTGTTTTTGGCCTGTTTTCAAACATTTTGTGCTGTGCATTAATGATTATGGGTCATCTAAGGTCTCGGAAGATACACCAGCTGAGTCCTTCTGATTTTGATCTTGTCCTATAATTAGAAAGTTTTTTTTGTCAAGTTGTTGTTACATGAATTAAATTTCTTTCAAAAGCATGAATAAAAGTAAATCAAAAATAAAATATAATCATTTTAAAAACCTTTTTCTTGGTGCACTAATCACTAATACTGATCATTAAAATGCACAAATGGAGGTCTGATGCTTTCTGAGATGTACACTGTGCTGTTCCAGAGCCGTTACGGGTGGTGGTCAGTCCCAGGAAAGTGAAAGGCAGTGTGGGCAGCCAGGTGTCTCTGACCTGTAGTGTGACCAGCTCGGATGAGTATGAGCTCTCGTGGTATCGCAATGGAGAAAAAATCAACGCTGGAGTGGCTGTGCACATGAACGGCATCAACAAGGAGAACCTGGTGATGGACGGCATGGCCAAGAGTGATGGAGGAGTGTACCAGTGCTTTGCCAGGAAAGGCAAGATCTCAGCTCAGGACTTTGTGCAAGTTATCTTAGAAGGTCAGTAACATCTTCATGTAGCTCTCACACCTGTGTGTCTATGTGATATGTGCCAAAATAAAGAGTATACAGTGCTTATCAATGCCTAAGTAAAAAAAAGAATGTAAAAACATACATAAAAATAAGATAGCTAACTAATTTGAACAATTTCGGTAATATTTGTCATTAGACATCATATTAAAATGATTTGTATCAAATGCGGTAACCCAGATACAGTTTAGCTCACCGTAGAGCCAGTGTAAGTCGGTCGATTAATGGTTTTGCAACTGAGCCTGCCATTCTCACTGCAGGTTTGTTGTAAGGAGCGCTGTCATAGTTTTTACTTTGCTTGACAAAGGAAATATCATTTAGAAACAATTGTGATTGGCCCAGAGGCATATCACTCAATATCTTGTAAAGGTCAATTCTCAGCCCAGGCATGCTTACAATTGACAAGACTCCTAATGCTACGTTCACCAACCTCTATAACAACATTAAATCGTAAGTCAATCTGCATAAGAGCACCTGCCAAATGGCATAAATGTAAATGGAATAACCCTTACAGAAAACATAAGTCAATTTAGATGCAACATTTCTGCATCTTTGCATTATTTAATAGCTCTTCAATCTGTTTCTTCACAGACGGAACCCCCAAAATCTTGTCGGCCTTCAGCGAGAAAGTGGTGAGTCCGAATGAGTTTGTGTCCTTGATGTGTCACGTTAAAGGCACGCCGCAACCCGTCGTCACCTGGACGCTGGACGATGACCTGGTAATGAAGGACAGCCGTCACCGGATGGGCCACAGCATCACGGCGGAGGGAAACGTCATCAGCTACTTGAACATCTCCCAAACGCAGGTCCGTGACAGCGGGGTGTACCGCTGCACCTGCAACAACTCGGCCGGGACGGTCTCCTACCAGGCTCGAATAAACGTAAGAGGTGCTTGTCAGATCAGCTCCTCCAAAACACACACATGCACAACACATATAACTCATTTTGGTTGTTTGGATGTTCATGCATGCCTTTAAAAACCTCTTGACAGAGAATCTGAGCTCATTTCAGGGAATATTCAGCCTTTCTTCTGTCTTCCTCTTTCCTTTTGGTTTCTTGTAGTTTGTTCAAGCAGCAAAAGTCAAATGTACACAGTTTTTGCCTTAAATCAGTCAAGACATGTTTGGTGTTTGTTTCTTCTGTTTTGCAGTGGAGCTATGAGGCTAATGTTGCTAACTAAGTAATGGAAGCTAACGTTCACCAGTTTAGCATCCTCCAAACTGCATACCTAAATTATCATACTTGCCTCAGACTGTGTGGAATTGTTCAGTATCTCTAATAGACTTGCTTATGTGGTTCATGACACTGTTACACACTGTTAACTATAAACATGGACAAAATACAGAAAGGTCAGGCTTCAATCTACTGTTTTTAGCTATGCAATGTGCTTCTGTCCACTCTTTCACAGCACTCGCTGCTTTTTTGCCTGTGGTCATCCACAACCTAGCTAACCTTAATTGCTTCCACTCCTGTTATTTATGTCAGTTTCTGCATTGTAATGAGACACACAAAAGCTACTTATGTGCTAATAGCTCCCCCTTGTGGAGTACTTTCAGCCTGTTAAACCTAAGTGAGTGAGTTACAAGTCCAATGTACATAAACACAGCTAGACAGACACATCTGCGTTCCAAAGCCTAGGTTGCAGCCGACGTAGAACTGTCCTATGAAGACTCCTCCATAGTAGCCTGTTGGTCACACAAATGGAACAGTACTAACGAGGCTGCGTGGTGACGTCATCAAAAAGGTCCCGCCTCTTGCAATTGCAGTGCAAAACTTGTGAGGGAACTGGTGAGAGAAAATGGAGCCCGTTGCATTGTGTTTGTTGCTATGGGAGCGATACGGCAACAAGCTTATGTACCACGATAAACAACATATATACAAATATCTTATTAAAACATGATATACGGGCGAATACTTTAATTAATCAGTCATTTGACACTTTGTAAGGGTATGAAGACGAATTCAAGTACATGAACAGCTTGCATTTTAATACAAGCTCTGCTCCAATGGCTTTGTTTTCCACCACGTTTTTCCTGGTGCAGTTTTTTTTTCCTTCACGTTGTTTATGTGCAGATAACTGTGGGTAACCGAAGGCCTGGAAGGATAAGTTGCGTCCTTGAAATCACTCAGAGCGTCGGCTGCATTTCTAGGCTGTATATAAACACTCAAAGAACGCTTTGCATGATTAAAGGGTTCTTTTCATCATAAAAGTGTTCTTCAGACTGTTGAAAAATGTGCTGTAGAGGGTTCTATATAGGACTTTTTTGAAAAGGGTTCTATACAGCACCAAAAGGGTTCTTCTATTAAAACAAACTTGACATCATAACAATACAAAAACCCTTTCTAGTGCTGTATAGAACCCTTCTGAAAAATATTCTATATAGAATCATCTACAGCACATGACTTCAGACTGAACCATTTTGTGATACAAAGAACCCTTTAATCATGCAAAGGGTTCTATGAGTGTTCATGGTTCTATCCAGAACCATTTTCTTTAATAAAGAACACTTGGACCCTTTTTAAGACTATAATTTATAGATTGCAGTATAACAGACAGTTTGAGAAACCACATTAGTCCGGCTTTACAGGATGAAACTTTTATGCAACTAGTTGCATGTTGTGAGTTGCGGCAATGCATTCAGTTAGTCCAGTAGCCAATTCAGCAGCACATATTTTAGATACACCATGTCGTTCTCACTACAGAGTCACCCACAAGGTGTGAATTACATATTTGCAGCATTTTTATCATATAATTTCCAGCTGTTATTACTGTTCTTTTTTCTATATCTATTTATCAGTCTTTTATGCATCTATCTAGGGTTCTTAACTCTATATCTGAGTTTTTATTTGCTGTTTGTTTATTAAGTCTTTGAAAATGAATGTTTAACTAGCTGTTATGGTTGTAGCCTAATTGATGTTATCACTCATCCGGCGCTGGGAGCACAAGTTCATTGAGGAGCGCATCTCAGTCTCTCCTTCTCATTTTCTCTAATCATTTTTATTTTTTTTTGCGTCCCAAATGAATCTGAGCTGTGTGTAAGATGATGAGGTGTGAATCTGAAGAAAATGAAACTAGATGTGCAAATCATGATAACAGGAGGTTAACAAAGAAGAGTAAACTCTAGCACAAGCTGGCTGGTTAACACAGCTGGTGATAGAAAAATTAGCTTTGTTGTCGTCTCTCAGAAAACTGACAAAATGAAAAACTACCAACCTTACAGTTAAAAGGGAGTCCATTCTTTACAAGCATCCAATGGACCGTCATCTGTTTTATTTTCTTGTCTACTAATGTGGTGAAATCTGTTGTTTGTAACAGTGTCGTTTGGCGCGATCACGTGATGCGCTATCTGTGTTTTGGTTGGTTGTTTCACGAACTTGAGTCTCCTGCAACTGTTGCAGAGTTTCAAATGAGTCTGCAATTTAGTTTCATGTAGAACTAAAGCTGCATGAAAGTTTCTCCTTGTAAAGCCAGTCTATGAGGTAGCTTTAAGGGGAATTCCACCACTTTTTCAAAATTTTCAGTCATTCAGGGTTGTTTGATGAGAAACAGTGTGTTGTAGAGAAACTTACAGATTTCTTTACAGTGGTGGTGATGGGAACCAGGGGTCACCATGTCTACAACACAAGTATAGCCACTTTATTTATTATCCAAACCACCAGTGAAATCTGAAAAAAACTTTTCTTTGGGGACTATTTTGCCTTACAATGCCCTGCATGTACCTCTCCGCCATGAACTGATTAAAATATATGGATTGAAATACATTTTAAGCCAAAATATAAATCATAAAACGGTGTGTCAGACATCAGACAGCATATATCTAACCATTTCATGTAATAATTTTCTGTGAGGGAGCTTTTAGAGGTGGGCGTCTGGTTCCTATCACCACCACTGTGAACAATTCGGACTTGGTAAGTTTCTCTAGAACAGAGCGTTTCACACCAGACTACTCTGAATGACTCTGCTCACATCTCAACCATTTAATTATGTTAAATTTATGAAAAATTAGTGGGGTTCCCCTTTAATAACTCCACATTCTTTGTAGCAAATGTTGAATGATTTAGACATGCAGTTTACGTGGCAGTAACTGGTGTAAGACCCCATTACTTTTTAGCTACATTAACTTCGTAGCGCCAGCACAAAACTAAAGAAGCAAACTTCAGACGCCAACCACGTCTCGGCTGATCGATTACATTTGTGTAAGGAGAAAATTGTGTACGTTTGAAGTTTTGTCAGACTATCCCTTTAAGTGAACTGATTGAGCTGTCCTTTGTGTGTTTTCCATATTCATTTGTGTCTCTGATGAACTCTTTTCTACCACAACATCAGACTCACTGTCATGATTTCTGCCCACATTACCTAATGTTGGCAGATTAACCTATTATACAATATTTATCTTGGCCAACAGTGGTATATTGTACCTCCTACACACTGTAGCCAAGCTTTGTTGTCATATTAGCACTCATATTCAGCAGAGATTTATAAAAATATGTACAAAGCTGTCCATAAAACCTGGACTCCCCTTAATACATCCATGCTGTGGGTGTCGTATTCCATTGGATGTCTCTATTTCTCCCGCTTTACCAGGTCTGTTATGAATTACCATGTCTTTAAAGATCTTTTTCACCATTTCTTTCATTACTGACCCATTTTTTATTTATTTTTAGCACTGGAATTTCTCCTTCAGGCTCATGATAGCTTAATTAAGGTTATGCACAATGCCTTCGAGACATGATTTTTAAATAAAATAATGCTGTCCGTTCTGATGACTGTACAGTGTGTAAATCAGAGGTTGTTTTGTTCTCTCTCTTTCGTCCCGTCCCCTGACTGTCAGCGGCGGAGGAGCGCTGCAGATAAATCGGTGCCATTCCAGAGACGGGATAATGACCGTTTGTCGCATCACTGGCTCTGTAATAGTAGTGGATGTGATGTGTAATGTGATGGTGGATGGTTAGGTAGAGAAGGAATCCACAGACTGAACAAGAAAAAGGGAATTTGTCCTTTGCATACAGGAGATCTTGGCTGTTCCATGCACATATTCTGGATTGTTTCTGGCAAAGTAGTGGGCTACACTTGCAGCCCTCTGCAGAAATAAATGGTTAAGATGTAAACATAGTGATTTAGAGCAGTTTAATGAGAAATGCTTCATTCTAGACAAATTGTTCACATTGGTGGTGATAGGAACCCAGACGTCTGAAGAGTTTAATGTCTCTAAAAGCTCCTTCACAGAAAGTCATTACAAGCAATGGTTATGAAAACACTGCTTGATGCCTGAGACGTTGTTTTATGATAGTTTTGAGAGGGCTTTGGTCTAAAATTTATTTTAGAATATAAATTCCTGGCGTAGTGGGAACATGTGAGGCAAAATGGTCCCCAGATAAAATGTGTTTTTTTCAGATTTACCGCTATTTTACCAGCTGTAGACATGGTGACCCCTGGTTCCTATCACCACCACGGTAAAGAAATCTGAGTCAGGAAGTTTCACTACAGTAAGCCATTTCACAACAAACCACTCTGAATGACTTTGCTCACATCTCAATAATCGAAACCTGCAGAAATTTGAAAAAAATTGGTGTAATTCCCCTTAAAGTAGAATAGAACTGTGTTCTCAGAACGAGCAGAGTCTTATAAATGTAGTGGCAAAAAAATTAGATTTTGGGAAACATTTTTCAAAGTTTCTGTATATTTCATTTGTTAATATGTAAACAAAGTCATTCAGAGTGGTTTGATGTGAAATGGTTAGTTGTAGAGAAACTTGCCAACTCAAATTTCTTTACAGTGGTGCTGATAGGAACCAGGGGTCACAATATCTGCAACACAAATATAGCCATTTTATTTACAATCCAAAACCACCAGTGAACCTACACGTGTCTACTGAGTTTTGTTAGTAATGTTGTTAATATTAACTAATATACTGATAATTCTGAAAAAGTAAACTTTCTTTGGGGACTGTTTTGCCTTACAGTGCATGTACCTCTCCACCATGAATGGACTGCCCTGGCCATCGTGAAAGAGTCAGACACCAGGCAGTGAATTCATAACCATTTCTTGTAATAGCTGTCTGTGAGGGAGCTTGTAGAGGTGGACGTCTGGTTCCTATCACCACCACTGTGAACAATTCTGACTCTAAGTTTCTCTAAAACTAAGCAGTTCACATCAAATCACTCTGAATGACTTAATATACATTTCAACCATTTAATTATGGAGCAATTTTGAAACATCACTGGAATTCCCCTTTAACTCTTAAAGGCTAGAAACGCATGTATGCGAATGCAAAATATGGTTTTGTGCATTACAGCTAGGGGCAGTATAGCAACAATCAAGCCTGCCACCAGCAGCTATAGATATTATACATAATATACAATATTTATACAATTGTACATATAATATGATATATCATCACCTTTTCATTCATACTGAACAAGTAAAGCAGCTTTTAATGCTCTTCTGTCGAGATGTTTAGTTGTTGTGGCTGTTCGATTGACAGTAGATCCTGTTTAGGGACTCTGATTTGACCTCTATCGCCCCCTTCAGTACTGAGTGTTTGTCCGCCACAGTAACATAAGAACACAGATAGAGTTTGTTCAGAAGAACAGTGTGTTTGTGCTGCGTTGGGCCACTTGAGTTGCATTTGTGTACTTGAATTAAGTATGCATACCTCGGGTCACTAGTAACCTTTGACCTCCGCAGCCTTAACAACTTACCTCACACAGTTTCTCCACATAAAAAATCTATTTAGGCTGACCTGGATATTTAATACTTGAATTTTCGTTTGTTACATTTTATAGAGTATTCATTTATCTATTTAATGTTTGGAAGTTTTGTCTTTTTTGAAGCTACAAAACTACAATAACTTTTATTAACCCCTTGAAATCTCAGGCTTATTGCATACTAAGGCTTACTGTTAGTAACTACAGGGACAAACTGGTTGAGCTATTCTTTGATTCTAGAAGCATGCAATAAAACGTTGGGCCTGCCGGCGGGCCCTGGCCATTTAAGGGTTAACAGAGGCCTTCAAGTTTCATTTAAAGGGCTCTTATTTTGACAGATGAACAACAAAATAATAAAAGATAACAGAATAGCTAAATGATATAAACTAAAAAAAAAGAAGAATAGCTAAGCAAGCGACAAACATCTTTAAATCTAGTCAATATATCTAATATTTCTCATTTTTGAGATTGCTGTAAGAATATTATAAGATGATTTAACCTATTTCTGTACATTTTCCTTGCACTTTTTATGTAGTGAAAGTGTCTTAATCCACTGACAGACAGACACTTTCACTAGACAGTTTCACACTGTCATGGCCGTCTGTAGACCAATTCTCTCACCAGTCAATACAGTCTATGTATGAAACGTAGCTGCAGAAAACAGCCCATTGTAAATCCACTGTTTTTGTGTTGTCATGAAAATTTTACATACATCCATCTATTCAGCCTACAGCAGTTAAGCCCCGCCCTCTCACCCTGAAGTCATAAGGAGCGTTTCAGTCCTGGTGGCTTTTTAAAACAAGGCACAACACAGGGTAGCCAGTGAGAACAGAGGACATTTGTATGAATTGGTCTTAATGGACCAGTAACAAAAACAGCCTCTTTTACTCTGTGGGGTTGAAAGAGGTTGGAAAATGGTCTTTTTAAATTTTACAATTTTAATTTTAAAAGAATTATGAGTTTTTGGTAGATAAAAAACACACAAATGCTGCGTGTGGACCTCTGGGAAAAAGAGTGGAACGTAGGATATGGGTCCTTTAGTTATCTCTCAAATGTGGCTCACTGAAACAAGTAGAGAAATTCTATTAAACGCAGAAGTTATTGCATCATTTTTTTTACATTTTTGACAACAAACAGAAAAAAAAACTGCAAACTGGACACTTGACAGAATGTACATGTAATGTAAGTGCAATTCATTGCGTAACTAACAATGTAATTAATGATGTGAGTGTGTAATAGTTATGTAATGTAAATTGAATGTATAACAAAATGACAGTAATAACTCCAGACTTCTAAGGGTTAAAGAGAGGTATTTCTCTTTTTTGTCTTTAAAGGTTCTGCTGATATAAGACCGATGAAAAACCTCACAGCCATAGCCGGCCGAGACACCTACATTCACTGCCACGTCGTTGGTTACCCCTACTACTCCATCAAATGGTACAAGAATTTCAACCTGCTTCCATTCAATGACCGCCAGCGGGCCTTCGAAAACAACGGCACGCTAAAGCTGCTGAACGTGCAGAAGGAGCTGGACGAGGGGGAGTACGCCTGCCATGTGCTCGTACAGCCACAAGTCTTTAAAAACCAGAGCGTCTACATCACTGTGAAAGGTAAAGCCCCTCCCAGTCCACAGCTTCAGAAGGACGAAGAAAAAATTCACTTGGAATATTTAAGAAGTACGGAGCCCTGCTGGTAACGTCCCATATAAAGAAAAATAATGTGTGGCCACACCGTATTAACGCATGGGAACAAGATCCTAATGCGTCGCCGCTCAATAAGGCGTAAGAACTAGTTAATTAAGTCATTGGCCACGACTTAGTAAGGCATGGGAACAAGATCATGCCTTATTAAGCTGTGGTCAAGGCTTAATTATCTCTTTCTCACGCCTTACTAAGTTGTGGCCACATATTAGGATCTCGGATACTAAGTCGTGGCCATGCATTTTTTTTTCCATACGGGAAGTCACCAGCAGGGCTCCATAAGGAAGCTATTAACCCATATGGAAATCTGATATATATGACAGTATGTGGATTTCAAATATATGACATATATGAGCATATATGAACTTCCTTTATGTACAACTTTACATAATTATATAATTTATATAATTATATAATAAATTTATTTACATTCTGTCATATATGGACATATATGTAACACCTATGCCAACTTGATTGTTTTCAAATATGGAGCACATATTTCAGCCCTATATCAATTTATACAAACATATATATGTGTAACACGTATATGTAAAAATACGTGATAGAAAACATTATTCATATAACGTGTCTACTTCGTTATGTAAGTTTTTTTGTATTTCATTTTGATTTTTTGCTTTAAAAATCTTTCAGTGTTTGTGTCAGCCATACATCAGAGACACAGCATGTCTGTGATCCATATTTTATGTATGTATGTGTTCACCTACCTATGAATCTGTCCAATATTTGATACATATATATATACATATATATATATATATATATTTATGCTATGCATGTAGTGTATGTTTATATATATACACATATATATATATATATATATATATTACACTACTGTATCATCACATATATTGTGAAATATATGCCTAACCCTTTATTATATATACGCATATATGGCCCTATCAGATTTCCATAAGGGAAAAGGGCAGTTCATCTGAAACAGCTAATGTAGCAGTGAATGGCCACTAGTTAGCATTAACATCCTGCTAAATCAATGCCTACTACCTTCTATTCATTGTTAGCCATGGTAGCATGTTTGGTCTGTCTGTTTCTTTATGATTCACCACTGAAAATATTTAGAAATGCATCAATAAGGCAAAAAAAGATGTCGAGGAAAACAAATAATGTAGTAAATAGTCTTAATTCATCTTTTTTGGCTAGAAATGAATCAGCTAACTTTTCTTCATTATTAACAAAGTTATTATGCTAATAATGTTTCTGTGACACGTTCACTGAGGGAATATTGTGTTTAATTTTCATTTATCTTAAGTATCACATTTACTGGAAGGCAGTTTATCTATGTAGGTATTTATGAAGTTTATGTTATGAAAGGCTTATGTAGCTGTCATGTAGCCTTAAGAATGCTGCCTTTCGGTAAAGTGTTGGTGGCTTTGTATACTTTTTCTTAAAGGGAAAAAAACTTTATTATTACCTCAAGTCTTTTCTGGTCCTCCTCAGTGCCCCCCTTCATCCAGCCCTTTGAGTTCCCTCGCTACTCCATTGGCCACAGGGTCTTTGTGCCCTGTGTGGTGCGGTCAGGGGACCTGCCCATCTCCATCGACTGGGAGAAGGATGGAAAACCCATTAATGCCAGCCTGAATGTCACTATTGACAAAATTGACTTCACCAGCTCTTTGCGCATCTCCAACCTCCAGCGAGTGCACAACGGCACGTACACATGCATCGCTCGCAACGACGCCGCCGTCGTCAAATATCAGAGCCAGCTCATCGTCAGGGGTAAAGAGTAACACTGACTAAGAGTGAATTTCAGATGGTGGAATTTTGGTAATATATCATGTCAGAGACTGATAATTTGCCCTCTTTCTGTAGTTCCTCCTAGATTCAAAGTCCAACCCAAAGACCAGGACGGGATTTATGGGAAAGCCGTGATCCTGAACTGCTCTGCCGACGGGGAACCCCGCCCAACGATAGAGTGGAAGTATTCGAAAGGTAAATGAGGTTTGCCTTACTTACTGCCCATGTCATCACTTTGTTTTCCACACAGAACCACCATGACCTCTATAAAACAGAAAGACCAAGCTTTAAAGGGGACTTTCACTGATTTTTCCAAATTTCTAAATAATTCAATCAGTGACAACAAACTGACCAGTGAACTCTTTTGAGTTTTTATATGTGAATTTTGAAAACTGTCGTAAAACAATGTCTCATCATGCACTTACCTCAAACCTTGCTGGGTTATTGACAAAGAGTGAGTGCCTTTACATGCACTTAATAGTCAGATAACTGCAGAAAATCAGATTTGTTAGTAATCCAATCAACGTGTTTACATGCACTTGAGTAATCAGATAATGGGAAAACTCCGGGTCTACATGAGTCAGGCAGTGATCAGATTTCTGCTTTGCAACCAGCCAATAAACTCACAGAGGAAGACATGATGTAAACGTAAAGTAAAACTCAATTTTATTTTAAAACATTTACCTGAAAATATAAAGATACATCATCTAGAAGATGAAGAATAATTAAATCCTTCATTTTGTCAAACATGTATTTGGTTTCAGCGTCGCTTCTAAAGTGTTTTGCTGCGTCTCACGGCGACGCTGCTCGCTTATTTCCGGTACCAGCTGTCTGTTTTCGCACCTGCGCAGACTGAGAAATCTGAAAGAAATCAGAGTAAGAGTTTATATGCACTGAGAAATCTGATTACTGAGCTAAACTCTCCTAATCAGATTTCTTAATCAGATTTCTAAACCTTACTCCAGTCTAAGAAACCAGAGTGTGCTGTTTAAGTGACCATTTAAATAATCAGATAACCACAGAAATCTGATTATGATCGGATTATTGAGTGTATGTAAACACACTCAACGTCAAGTGATATCACAGCCATCCAACAGCATAACTGTCCTCATTTTCTCTTGGTGAATAGGTTGATCCACCCCCCCCACCACACCCCCATGGCTCTGCATGATGGTAGCCAATGTGGATGCCTGTTAGCTGAAGTAACAGAATTAGCAGTTAGTGTTCTCCTCCAAGCATGTTGAGATGTCCAGTGACATTGCATTAGCAATAGTTTGAAAAGACTTGGTGTCACATCACTCGTTGTAACTTTGAATAGAGTTTTGCGATCGCAAGAGCTGCAATTTTAATTATATCGTATGTTATTCAACATTGTCTAAGCAAATGTTAAAGTGATTTATATTTAATGTAAAGCTTGTGAACTGGCAGTCTGGCACACTACATTCAGCATTCAAGCAAGAAAAAAACGAATATGCTGGTCTTCTTGGTGAAGAAAAGGTCTCTCGCTCTCACACTTCACTAGCAGTGATTATAACTGTTTTGACTGAAGCTCTGAACTCTTCTTCAGGTGCCGGAGTGCCGCAGTTTCACCCGATTGCCCTGAACTCCGGCTACAGGATCCAGCTGCTGGGCAACGGCTCGCTGCTCATAAAGCACGTCCTGGAGGAGGACGCGGGCTACTACCTGTGCAAGGTCAGCAACGACGTGGGAGCCGACGTCAGCAAGTCTATGTACCTCAATGTGAAAAGTAAGACGTCCCGCTTTGCTGAATATTTTGCTTATTATTTATTATACCTTCATCACTGTCTGAGTTAACCTTTTAAGACCTCACCCTGAAAATGGTATAAAGTATGTTTACCTTTGGCTGTATCTTCAGCACAAATTTGACTCCTCAGTTGTGCCACTTACGTGCAATATATAAGATGAGAAGAATGTACAAAATTAAAAAAGAACTGGAGGTATGAGGTTAACATTGCTAACAAACACTAGAGCTCAATAGTCACCGAAATCATTTCTGAAAAAATACATCACCAAAACTTCTCTCAACCCTCTAAAACTGTAGCCAGCTCTTCATTAAGGTCACACAGACTTGTTGACTTGTTGATTACGCTGTATGACTTACTGTAAACTATAAAAATCAACACAACTTCACAGCTATGGGCAGCTGAACAACACCAGTATTCACAAATCACTCTGACTCCTGAGATGATTTTGATCATTTTTATAGCTGACAGTGAGGCATACTGGGTCCTAAACCACACTGACAAGCCTCCACAACCTTAACAAAGACCAGAATGCTTGTTGAGAGGGTTGAAAGAAGTTTTAGGGTTGTATTTTTACAGAAATGATTTAGGTGACTATTGAGTTCTAGTGTTTGTTAGCGCCATTAGCCTTGTAGCTATAGTTCTAAACTGAAGAAGCAAAATTTGGATATCAAACTTGGCTGATCGACTACATCTGGGGTAAGTGATTTGTCACTGAACCACTTCTTTAAAGACGAGTCATGAACTCAATATTAATTAAAGATCTAGATCAGGGGTCGCAACCCAAATGTTAAGAAGAGCCTTTTTGTCCTTTCAACAAAAATCAAACTACCCAGAGCCACAGCATTTTGTGTCCATTTTACCATCTTGGCTGTAAATATGTCTCAGTATGTGCTGATGTCCTAGTATAGGCTAAAAAATATAATATGATTGAAAACACAGACTTACTTTGCTCTGCTTTAAGCTTTAGCTCAGCTATAGCTGCTTTTCTCACATCTCCAGCAGGAAACGTTTCCACAAAAGTAGAATAGTTTCTTGTAAAATGTCTCTCAACTTTCGACTTTTACGAGGCTGAAGTCGCTTCTCATTCGCCAGCTTCTTGTTAAATGATGCCTGAGGCACCAGAATATAACTGTTTATTACATAGTAAAACAGCATCATATCAAGCACTATAAAGCACCTGGGAGAGGATCCGTGCCAATTCTAAATGTCCTCCCCCGAACAGACTGACCAACAGCATATATATATGGTTCTTGTTGTTGAAACAGGAGACAGAGCATATGGTTCTTTTTAAAATGATCTCATCTATTTGGACCTAAGAAGAAGGGAGAAAGTGAGAGGCCCCCCTTCCTATGGACCTTTAAATTAAGGGGCTATGGACCCAGAGGCCCCCCCCGGTTCACATTCCTATCCCCTGCACAAACAGAGCACACAGGGCACTCCTAAATACTTGGAACTTCAGACATCAGCTTATACTCAATGTTAAGAGTGTTTTTACCTTCTTCTATAAAAAGGTTCCTTTCTAAATACACTTCAAGTTTAAGACCATCTCTTCTTAAAACTGTGTTGAACGATCAGCAGAGCTTTATTTTACTGCAAAGAAGATTATTTTATTTTTACCTAAAAATCTAATTCAGCTGTGGAGCCACAACAGGGCAGTAAAAAAGCTGCATGTTGTCGACCCCTGACCTAGACAAATGATTCCTCTCTGTTGTTACTGGATTTCTGAATTGTTTGCCTAATTTCTGTATTATTTCTTCAGAAATGTGTAACTTTCCCAGATTAGAAACAAATGGGCTCTATCATGCAAATCCTACGTGCAAAATTCAGTGTAGAACATTGAAAAAAAAAAAGAAAAACATGGCATTTATATAACAGGACATATCGTAAATGCCTGTGTCCTTATTTGGCTGCTGTCTTTCTTTGCATCTTTATTCTCTTAGGTTTGTATCTACTGTATTATTCCAGTATATTCCACGTTTTCCATTGTTTTTTTCCATGAACAATGTTTACTTCTTTGAAATCAGTGGAGATTTGTGCTTTTGCAAGCATGTTTTGTTCTTCTTCTCAGCAACAGTAACTAAGGAAAGCTACACCCTGTGGTTGATGTTGGTTGGCTTGGTGACCCTTAATGTTTTGAGTAACCTTGTTTGCGTGGCTTTCCAGGGGTTAACGGTTCGTATTCCATAAAGGTTAACTGAGGCCACTGTGTCATATAGGAAAGAAGCACCAGTTCCAGGCCAGTGCAGTGGAGCTTCTGCCTCACTGAAGCTTCCAAAGCAGCGCGTTTGCCCGAGACATGTGGGTCTATCCGCTCAGTGGCCAAACTTATCTCCCCTCCATTAAGCCTTCAGCTCAAGCAGAAGCTGTCATGTGGAAAAGCTAGCTTTGAGGAAGCACTAATGCTGTGTGTGTGTGTGTGTGTGTGTGTGTGTGTGTGTGTTTGTGAGCATATATGTGAGTGTGTGTGTATGTGTGTATATGTGTGCGCATGTGAGATTCGACACATAAAATTACAGTATAAAAAAATGGGAAAATGTGTGTAACACTGGAATAATGCCATATATATAGACACAGGAGGATGAGAGGGCAAAGGCCAGATAAGGGCAAATGTAAATGTCCTTTTTTCTTTTCCATATCTTAGGTAGAGTCACAAATATTTTTTTTCCTTTTAGCTCAGGGGTCTCAAACTCAAGTTACCTGAGGGGCACGAGCCAGATGGTGTTCTCTGAGGGGTTGAAAAAATAAGTGGGAAAAAGGTTATGTCACGATAAAAACTTGTATCTCCATAACAGTAACTTTACAGGAGGAGGAAAAAACTGTCTTGACTTTGAATAAGAGTTAATGGAACCAGTTTTTGCTAAGTACTTTTGGACCATTTCTACCTAATTTTAACACAATTTAAAGAACAGCTGTTTTTTTTAAATTATTAAAAAATGAAAAACAACAAAAATGGAGATACAAGGTTTTGGTCCAATGGTGACATGATTCAACCACATAAGGGCATCTTAGTCAATGTTTATTGGAAATTAGTCTGTCACTACAAATCACAATTACTACTACTACTACTGCTACTACTACTAATAATAATAATAATAATAATAAGGCTTTTAGAATATTGTTATTATTAGTATTAGTAGTAATATAAGTCAATAGTGTTTATTAAATAATTTAGTGTTAAGTCAAATGAACTTACATTTAACAGTATAATTAAACGGGTCTCTTATTTTGAAAGCATCGGCATCCATGCTGAATGTGAATGGAATTATTGTGTGTGAAGTGTGAGAGCGGTTAATTCTACATTCCCAGTAGATCTGTTTGATAATTTCATTCATTTTTTAATTGTAACAGGTTGTATCTACTGATATGTAATGAATGAATCCACAAAGGCAGATTTAAGTAACTATTCTTCTGAATTTGAATAATAGCTAAACTAGTTACAGTTAAATTACAGTCATGTTGGCTCAGTGTGCAGCATTCATGCTGCGTCAGATTTTCGTTTGAATGGTTTGTTGAACTATTTCTACTAGAAACGGTTGATTAGCAGCTATGCTATCGAGCGTGATCGCTACTCCAGATGTGGTTTTGGTAACTCTTGTAGGAAAGCAACCTGTAAGCTATTAAAAACTTAGCTAGATTAGCTGACAACATCAGTTAAATTAGCTACTGTGCTAGCTAATAAACATGATATCGACACTATATGCTAGTTAAGATTTTTTTTTAAGTTATTTTGCCTCTTTACTGCATGTAGCACTTCATTCTGTCCTTCAGACTGAAGGTTTTTCACAGATTAAAGGCTCGTGTTTTGAAGCCATATTGAACCCAATGCATAAATTAGCATATATTTAAGCAGTTTTTGTTTTTTTTCTCATGTTATCATAAGTTTCAAGTCTGATTCAAATTATAAGTCAGTCAACGCGTGACTCGAGTGTGACTGTGCCTCCAGTCCGAGTTGCTGACTCGAGTCCTCATCTCTCATGTAAAATTCTGTCATTGCAACATACAGTGTGCTGCAGCTGCGTGCTGCTACGGATGGTTAAAAGGGTCAAACTAGGAAAAAGAGTTAATGATGTTTAAAAAAAATTGTAATTTAATGTGTTATTAATGCATTAACAACACAGACAACAGACAACAGAGAATGAAGGAGCCAAATCAGGACATATATATCGCTGTTGTCGGAAGAAAACCTTCAATCTTCAAAATGGTAACTTTACAGGAGAAGGGAAAAACATACTTTACTTTTAATGTAAGTCAGTGGAACCAGACTTTTTTCCAAGTCATTTTGTGATGTTTCTTTTGGTCCATTCTTCATGAAATTTATATACAATGTAAAGGACAACAGGCAATTTTAAATTACGTCAAAAACTGAAAAACGACAAAAAATGGAGATTGGAAAAATGGAGGTTTTCTTCCAACAGCAGCGATATACAATCATATGCAGAAGCTTAGGTGCAATTGGTTGAATTGCATTTAAGTGAAAATAAGATCCTTTACAGAGAACAAACTTCTGCATATTTCAACGCACAGTTACTGTTTACTTGCTGAATTTACTCTATTGGGGAAAATTAAACATAAAATTTAGCTTAGGCAAAAGAAAATTTTTATCACTTCAGTGTATTTATCAAAATCAGCAACATGTATCATTTAACCGGCATTTCCATAAGGCTGTATTTATACAATATAAAAGTCAGTTTGTTTCTTAGTCAGTTTTTTGTTTGAGTTCTTGTTACATTGAAATTTGCATTTAAGATTTGTGAGTATGAAACGTTTTCTAGGAAATTCATATTTTAATTTGATGAAATTGGCACATTTTTAAAGAATTAGACTAAAATGTGTATTTAAATTTGATGGAATTTACACATTTCTGAACAAATAATTCAAAGTGTTTAATTCAGTTTTTATGAAATACACATTTCTGAACAAATAATCCAAATTTATAGTTAAATTTGTATCATTTATTTCATTAAATTTGATGAAACTTAAT